CGGATCGGAAAAACTGGAGACTCAAAGCCATAGTATTTAAGTTTGGTCTGCGGGAAATCATATAAGGCTGTTTCCCAATTTAGAAAAAAAAGAACCAAACCCATAATGATGGAGAACTGTTTGTGAAATAAGGCCATGATATAGTATCAAATGCTTTATTAATATTGAGCGATAAAAGCATAATTTCCACAGAGCGACAATGGACTAGATGTTGCAATTGTAAAACCCATCGAATAGAATCCGCAGCCTGCCGAAGCGAAAAAGCCAACTTGGTCTTTTTTAATCAGACGGGTCAGGAAGGAGTTTAAGCGGTTAGTTAGGATTTTTGTGAGGATTTTCATGTCGATATTCGTAAGGCAAATGGGCCTAAACTTGGCCCAAGGGGAATGGTCATGTTCTGGTTTTAGGAGCATCATTATGTTAGCAGTCAGTATCTTTGGGGTTAGAGCTGAACCATTCTTAAATGAGTTGTAGATGGCCACCAGGTGAGGTGTGAGGACGCCTGCCAGTTTTTTATAGTAGAATGCTGTATAGCCAATTGGACCTGGACTTTTACCCCATTTTCAAATCTTTGATGCATTGTAATACCTGAATATCGCATTGTAATACCTGAATATCGCATTGTAATACCTGAATATCGCAGTCCACAAAGGCTCTATAGGCTGATGACTTGGGTAAGGAAAGTAATTCCAAAAAATCTGTAATGTATTGGGTATCTATCTGGGTAGGATCTGCGTAGAGCACGTTAATTGCGATGCCTGAATTCCTCCAATACCCACAGAGGACTACTTTTTAGTACGTTATGCCGGGTGTGTAAAGAAATATGATTAATTTGGTTGGCAAAGGAGTGCAGCCTATTGGCCAGCATTGTGTCCAGTTTGTTGGCTTTGAAATACCAGTTCTGATGGTCCAGTGCAAGGAGTGTTTGGCCCCATTAGTAAGACACAGGTTTCAATTCAGTACGTACCTGGTCTAGCAGTTTACTTTTGGAAGGGGTGGGAGACTGTTTGAATTGTGTCAACAGGGATTCTAGCTGAGCATTGAACTGTTTATGTTGTTGTTTGCATTTTGTGGCTAATTGAATAATGTGGCCCTGAAGGACTGCTTTATAGGCCTCCCAGAGGGTCACGGGGGAAGAGACAAACACCAAGTTGAGCTGAAAATATTAAGTAGATTTTTGCAGAAGGTCTGCCTGAATCTCTTGAAACAAATGCAACGTGTCATTCATGACCCAAGGGGAGTGTTGAGGTTTACAGAAAAGAGAGCGACAGACCACCAAAGTAGGATCATGGTTAGTTCATGGTGCTGCAAGAATAGTTGTTGATTACACCAAGAAGAGACGTTTGTATAGCATGAAAGCATGGTCTATTCTACAGTGGGAGTGGTGTGGGTGAGAATAATGTATGTGGAGCCTTATTGCAAAATCTTCATGGATAAAATTATCCTTATCTTGGACCTAGCTTTTCTACCAAAGGCAGAGATGGATTTTCATATTACAGAAGAGATACCGTATATACTCGAGTATAAGCCGACCCGAATATAAGCCGAGGTACCTAATTTTACCACACAAAACTGGGAAAAACTATTGACTCGAGTATAAGCCGAGGGTGGGAAATGAGGCACCTACTAGTCAATGTAAAAAATAAAGTGGGAGGAATAGTACCCCATAAGTGGGAGGAATAGTAGTGCCCCATCATTGGTGTCAGTGGGAGGAATAGTGCCCCATCATTGGTATCAGTGGAGGAATAGTGCCCCATCATTGGTGTCAGTGGGAGGAAATAATGCCCCATCATTAGTATCAGTGGGAGGAATAGTGCCCCATCATTAGTAGTCATCGTGGGAGTGGGAGGAATAATGCCCCATCATTAGTATCAGTGGGAGGAATAGTGCCCCATCATCGTTGGTGTCAGTGGGAGGAATAGTGCCCCCCATCGGTGTCAGTGGGAGGAATAATGCCCCATCATTAGTATCAGTGACACCAATGATGCGGCACTATTCCTCCCACTGACACCAATGACACTTGCTGACCCCTGTTGCAGTATGGTGCTGCTGCAGCCAGCATATGTGGTTGCAGCAGCACCTCTGCACTGCACACTTACCGGCTTTTCCCTCACTCGATTTTCGCGGGTCCGCTCGGCTCCGCCTCCTCGCCCGTGATTGGCCGCCTGTGTACCTTTCCTGAGCTACAGTTCTGGCGGCCAATCACCGGTGAGGAGGCGGAGCCGAGCGGCAGGAGTGAGGGAGTGGCCGGAGTGACGGAAGGAGCAGCGCTTCCTGGATGGATCATTGTGGGAGCCAGGTAAGAGACAGCAGCCCTCTGCCCACCCCTGTACGCGCCCCCCTTGATGGAGCCTCGCACCCCCCCCCGGGCAGATGTTGACTCGAGTATAAGCCGAGGGGGCCGTTTTTCAGCACAAAAAATGTGCTGAAAAACTCGGCTTATACTTGAGTATATACGGTAGTAGTTAATTTCTGTTGTGGAAACCCCGATAATGAAAAAGAAAAGGTATAAAGTATAACAAAATTGACTTCAGAAGATACCTTACAACCTACATTGTATGTACAAAGCAGGGTTCAACAAATCCCAGTCGAAGTAGAAAATTGCATGCTGGCTCCTGGGCTTTTGTCAGTTACAGGTGCCTCAGCTGCCATTACAGGGAGGGATGGGTCTTGGCCAAGAAGGTGGGGGCGCCTCAGGCCCTCCGGACACCACAGAGCACTGCTTGGCACCGCCATCATTATGGGGAATGTGATTAGTAGTGGCAGTAGGATGAAGAAGACCTGAAAACGGAGCAGGAAGAAAGTGGCTTGGCAGCCACTGACACGACAGGAGGAGCGTATAGTCAGCAGGTGCAGTCCAGCTGGGGATTCCTGGCAACCTGTCATCCCCGCTGCTGGTGCCACCCCCCCTCCCCCAGGTATTGCTGACAGCACCTGGCCTGGAACTGAGGTGAAAGCAGGATCTGTTCACTTAGAACAGCCCGCTTTGGTTCCCCCATCAGCCGACTTTTTCGGTGTCTATTGGCTGGGTCTATCACTGCCGTTGGAAGCAACAGAAGGTGGTCGAGGGAAGGGAAGTAGAGTAGGTGCTGGGAGCGGAGCCGCCATCCATGCCATCCGGATAATCAGGGCCAAGGGACTGAAGGAGGGGGAGAGCTCATTGCCACAACCTCCATTCCTCCTCCATGTCTGCTGCTGCAGAGAGAGAAGTATCTGATCTCTAATGTCTGGGGAGGATTACAGGATGTGATGTTGGGAAAATTTCCATCTGCAACGTCAATGCGGCTGCTGATGTGAAGGAAGGGGGAGAAGGAGCTTTTTTCCCTGATAGGATCTGAGGGGGAGGAGAAGTGTGCCAATACCTAATTCATACCATCTGGGGGGTGAGGAGATGACTGGTAGGTGCTTTTCTGCCTGATGTTCTGTGCCAAGAGGGCAGCCCCACATGCGCCTTCCCCTGGCCATGCCTGTGCACCTGAGATCTCCTCTCCACTCCTTCTGTCTGCCATGACATGGATCATAATATGGGGGTTCGGGCTGGACCTGCTTACTGGAGTTAAAGGAGCAGGATTGATCTCTGACATTGTGACATGTTATTATCATATATTATAGGGCCAGTCTGAATATCGGCAGCCTTCACCATGTCCTTGACTAGATGCATGTCTGATTCAGGCTCAATAAGACATAGGCAAGGGCACATGAAGTTGGAGCATTAGAGCCATACTGGCTACATCTGTGGTTCACCATTACCATTCACTGCGGTGGGATTGTACTGGATGACACTGACCCCAAGGAGCTAATATGAGTGTAAGGTGACTTATGAGTGTTCCCTGGGGGAGAGCCCAGCCTGCTGCACATTACAGGGGGTATAAACACCGCAGATCCTATGTGGCAACTGAGTTTTATATGCAGCACATGAAACCTGGGGCACCAGTTATATGCACAGTGTATAACCAATAATAACAGGCTGTGGGCAGCCAACCCAACAAGATTAATGGAAAAAAAACTGAGAATATCACCAGCAGCTTGCTGTACTGAATATCTAATCTCCCCGCTGAGCTTATTTGTTCTGAAAGGGGGACTTCTCTCCTGCCAGAACACACCGGTCAGTGCTCTCAGCCATTGGTTGAGAACGCTGATTGGATGCTGATCAGCAGACCTTTCTCGGTCATGCCCCGTCAGCCGGCTTCTGGCTACATAAAGAGAAGGGGTTTTGTTGTAGAAAATAAAATTTTATTGGTTAAAAAACCTAAAACTTTTTGCTGGCTCCTAGATTCAAAGCAAATTTGTCAAGCCCTGGGACAAAGGAGTGGAGAGTTTCTTATTGCCTGTTTGTTTTTGTGCAAAGGGCCAAAAAGAGGCCTCAAGGCGACAAAAGGCACCATTGCAAAATGGTTGAAGGGAGCTATGGTGGAAGCCTACAAGGCAGCCTTTCTGCCTCCGCCGCTTGGAGTCAAAGCACATCCAACCAGGGCAACAGTGACTTTCGGGGCAGAAAAAGCTGGCACCTCCCCCAGACAGATCTGACAAGCAGTTTTCATACATTTGTCAAGCACCACCGCTTAGATCTGACCTCCAGTATTGACCAGTAATTTGAAAGAAAGGTCTTGCAAGCAGTAGTCCCCCCTAAAAGTCTGTATTTCAGTTCCATCCTCTCATGTAAGCTGTCCTGGAAGATGAATTGAAAAAACGCATTTATTACCTGTTAACAGAATTTCCAAGAATCTTCCAGGACAGCATAGTTCCCTCCTGATATGGTACTCAATAGTATTGAGGATTTATCTACATATTTCTTGTACTTTTAATGCGTTACTGTTGTATGCTCTTTTCTAGGCCTGTGGTTATATTCCAAAACTGAGGACTTGGGAGTATGCCGGGGATTTTAAAGAAAAAGTGGATCATGTGTTTTCTGGTGGGGTAGCATCTCTCTAAGCTGTCCTGGAAGATTCCTGGAAATTCAGTTAACAGGTAATAACTGTTGTTTTTATTTTTTTGCACAGTTGCGGAAACAGATGGAATTAAAGGACAAGAACCGTCCGCAACCCCTGAGCTCTATAGAAAACAAATCTGATAATAGGTCTGGTCAGGTTGGGGACTGCTGTCGAGATGAGAAGTGTGTAGGAAACACAGGAAAACGTGATGGATTAGAGGACAGTGGTGACAGCAAGGACGTGAGTGAAGTCAGCGAGGCTACAGAGAGCACGGACGTCAAAGACAGCTCTGAGGCTTCAGACTCTGCTTCTTAAAGGGTGCATCTACACATTGAATTCATTTGGATGCTATGATGACCATTGTTGTGCTAGCAGCTCCTGTTATGTTTATTAAATTCCTTTCCAGGTGCAGTAGAGATTGATCATTGAGGCCTGTCAATTTTTACAGAGAGAACAATTTGTAAATATATGAAGACAATAAACTCTAGGGGATAAGCTGACTTTGTCCTCATTGTGCATTATCTTTATCTGTCTGAATATTGGTGCTACTAATCCCATTCAAAGATTTTTTTTTTTACTCTATTTGTTATTTGTATAGAGTAAATTTGAATTTGGTTGCTATTTTATTAAAATTTTGATGATCTGAATCATTTAAATATGACAAATATGCAAAACAATACAAAATCAGAAAGGAGGCAAATACTTTTTTACAGTACTGTGTGTGTGTATATACAGTCATGGCCGAAATTGTTGGCACCCTTGATATTTCTCCAGGAAATCATGTATTTCTCACGAAACGTATTGCATTAACACATGTTTTGCTATACACATGTTTATTCCCTTTGTGTGTATTGGGACAAAACAAAAAAAGGGAGGAAAGAAAGCAAATTCGACATAATGTCACACAAACCTCCAAAAATGGGCTGGACAAAAGTATTGGCACCCTTTCACAACTGCGGATAAATAAGAATGTTACAAGCATGTGATGCTCCTGTAAACTCACCTGGGGCAAGTAACAGGTGTGGGCAATATAGAAATCACACCTGAAAGCAGATAAAAAGGAGAGACGTTCACTTAACCTTTGCATTGTGTGTCTGTCTGTGCCACACTAAGCATGGACAACAGAAAGAGGAGACGAGAACTGTCTGAGGACCTGAGAACCAAAATTGTGGCAAAATATCAACAATCTCAAGGTTACAAGTCCATCTCCAGAGAACTAGATTTGCCTTTGTCCACAGTGCGCAACATTATCAAGAAGTTTGCAACCCATGGCACTGTAGCTAATCTCCCTGGTCGTGGACGGATGAGGAAAATTGATGAAAGATTGCAACGCAGAATAGTCCGGATGGTGGATAAGCAGCCCCAAACATGTTCCAAAGACATTCAAGCTGTCCTGCAGGCTCAGGGAGCATCAGTGTCAGCGCGAACTATCCGTCGACATTTAAATGAAATGAAACGCTATGGCAGGAGACCCAGGAGGACCCCACTGCTGACACAGAGACATAAAAAAGCAAGACTACAGTTTGCCAAAATGTACTTGAGTAAGCCAAAAGCCTTCTGGGAAAACGTCTTGTGGACAGATGAGACCAAGATAGAGCTTTTCGGTAAAGCACATCATTCTACTGTTTACCGAAAACGGAATGAGGCCTACAAAGAACAAAACACAGTACCTACGGTAAAATATGGTGGAGGTTCAATGATGTTTTGGGGTTGTTTTGCTGCCTCTGGCACTGGGTGCCTTGACTGTGTGCAAGGCATCATGAAATCTGAGGATTACCAAAGGATTTTGGGTCGCACTGTAGGGCCCAGTGTCAGAAAGCTGGGTTTGCGTCCAAGATCCTGGGTCTTCCAGCAGGACAATGACCCCAAACATACGTCAAAAAGCACTCAGAAATGGATGGCAAAGAAGCGCTGGAGAGTTCTGAAGTGGCCAGCAATGAGCCCAGATCTAAATCCCATTGAACACCTGTGGAGAGATCTTAAAATTGCTGTTGGGAAAAGGTGTGTCCTTCCAATAAGAGAGACCTGGAGCTGTTTGCAAAGGAAGAGTGGTCCAAAATTCCGGGTGAGAGGTGTCAGAAGCTTATTGATGGTTATAGGAAGCGACTGATTTCAGTTATGTTTTCCAAAGGGTGTGCAACCAAATATTAAGTTAAGGGTGCCAATACTTTTGTCCAGCCCATTTTTTGGGGGTTTTGTGTGACATTATGTCATATTTGCTTTTCTGCCTCTGTTTTATATTTGTTCCAATACATACAAAGGGAATAAACATGTGTATAGCAAAACATGTGTTAATGCAATACCTTTTTTGTGTGAAATACTTGATTTTCAGGAAAAATATCAAGGGTGCCAACAATTTCGGCCATGACTGTATACACAGTCATGGCCAAAAAATGTTGGTACCCCTGCATTTTTGGAAAGTGAATTGTGTCATATTTGGTTTTTTGTTTATCCATTCATTTGTGTCATACCAATACGAACAAAAGAAATAACCATGAGAATGCCTAAACCTTTGTAATTACAAAAAAAAAAAAAGTGGTTCATTATCTGACAGAAATGCAGGGGTGCCAATATTTTTGGCCATGACTGTGTATATACACACACAGTACTGTGAAAAAATATTTACCCCCCTTCTGATTTTTTTCTTTATTGTTTTGATTATTTGTCACACCTAAATTATTCAGATTTTTATTTTTTTTATTGTTTTGATTATTTGTCACACCTAAATTATTCAGATCATCAAACAATTTTTAATTTTACACAAACATAACCTGAGTAAATACAAAATGCAGTTTTTAAACGATTTCATTTATTAAGAGAAAAAAGCTTTCCAAGCTTACCTGGCCCTATGTGGGGGAAAAAAAAGTAATTATCCAGCCCCCCCCCCCGCGCTAAATCATGAATGAACTGTGATTAGCCACATTTTTTTTGGAGAGCTGAGCTAAATTTCACTTGCCACAACCAGGCCTGATTGCTGCCAGACCTGTTGAGTTAAGAAATCACTTAAATAGAAGCTGTCAAAGTGAAGCACGCTAAAAGATCTCAGAGCAACACATCATGTCGCAAACTAAAGAAATTCAAGAACAGATGAGAAACAAAGTAATTGACGTGTCAGTCTGTAAAGGGTTACAAAGATATTTTTAAGGCTTTGGGACTCCAGTGACCCAAGGTAAGAGCCATTATCCACAAATGGAGAAAACTTGGAACAGTGGTGAACTTTCTCAGGAGTACCAAAATTACTCCCAAGAGCACGACGACGACTCATCCAGGAGGTTATAAAAGAATCCAGAACAACATCTAAGGAAGTGCAGGCCTCACTTGCCTCAGTTTAGGTTAGTGTTCATGATTCAAGAATAAGAGACTGGCCAAAAATGGCATCCATGGGAGATTTCCAAGGTGAAAGCCACTGCTGGCCAAAAAGAACACACAGGCTCGTCTCACATTTACCAACCAAAAAATCTTGATTATCCCCAAGACTTTTGGGAAAATATTTTGTGGCACAATTGGTTATTGGGTTTAAGGGGCAATTGCTTTTTCATATGGGGCCAGGCAGGTTTGGTAAGCTTTTTTTCCTCCTTAATAAATTAAATATTAATTTAAAAACTGCATTTTGTGTTTACTTGGGTTATCTTTGTGTAATATTAAAATTCGTTTGATGATCTTAAACATTGAAGTGTGACAAAATATGCAAAAAAAAAAAAATATATATATATTATTACACAGTGCTCGGCCTAAATGAGTACACCCCTTTTAAAAGTAAGATTTTAATCAATATCTCAATGAACACAAGAACAATTTTGACAAAACTGAGTTTTATAGAACATTTGTTTAGCTCATTACATAAAAGTAAGGTTAATAATATAACTTAGATTACAAAATCTGCAGTTTTCCTCAAACTGATGCAAAAATGAATACACCCCACAACAAAAACTACATCTAGTATTTTGTATGACCTCCATGATTTGTAAGGACAGCACCAAGTCTTCTAGCCATGGAATTAACAAGTTGGCAACATATTGCAACATCAATCTTTTTCCATTCTTCAAGAACGACCTCTTTTAGAGCCTGGATGCTGGATGGAGAGTGATGCTCCACTTGTCTCTTCAGAATTCCCCATAGGTGTTCGAGTGGGGTCAGATCAGGAGACATACTTGGCCACTGAATCACTATCACCCTGTTCTTCAGAAATGCAACAGTGGCCTTCGATGTGTGTTTTGGATCATTGTCATGTAGGAAAAGTGCACAACGACCAAGGGCATGGAGTGATGGCGGCATCTTCTCTTTCAATATAGAACAGTACATCTGTGAATTTATGACACCATCAATGAAATGCAGCTCCCCGACACCAGCAGCACTCATGCAGCCCCACAAAAGAACACTGCCACCACCATGCTTCACTGTAGGCACCATTCATTTTTGTTTGTACTCCTCACCTTTGTGACGCCATACAGTTTTGAAGCCATCATTTCCAAAAACATTTATCTTGGTCTCATAACTCCAGAGTATAGAGTCCCAGTAGTTTTTCTTTTTCAGTATGAGACCTGGGAAATACTAGGTGGGCTTTTTTGTGCACAGGCTTTAGGAGAGACTTTCTTCAGGGATGACACCAATGCATGCCATTCCTCTGCAGCGAACGTCGTATTGTGTCACGGGAAACAGACATCCCAGTTTGGCTTTAGCTAACTGCAGTGAACTTGCATAGCGATTTTTTTTCAACCCTTCTCATCAGAAGACTTTCCTATCAAGGTGTTAACTTCCATGGGCAGCCTGGACACACCTATGAGATGGTTGCAGTTCCATCTTTGTTAAATTTTTGTATCACTTTTGCTGTAGTATTCTGACTGATAAGTAAGTCTTTGCTGATCTTCTTGTAGCCTTCTCCTTTCTTGTGTAAAGAAATTTTTTTTTTCTCAGGCCTTCTGACATTTCTCTTCCATGTGGTGCCATTGCTGACAGCATGAAATGGGAGGGGTTTTCTTTATTAAGTAACATCCTAATAATCAAATGCTGGACACCTGTTTAATGAATAATTGGACTCACCTGCAGTTGACTTCTTAATTAGGATTTTGTTGTACAAAATGTAGCTTTGCTCCTAAGACTTTCATTGGGGTGTCTTCATTTTTGCAACATGTTCCTGAATGAATTTGTTAGCAAAAATACTTTTTTGTGTGTGCAAATAAACAAATCTTGTCTGCAATCAATGGCCTGCATTTGTGGTATAGTGTCCCATAACAAATGTTGATTCTGAAAGGAAGGGTTTTCTGACAAATCTATTGGGGTGTACTCATTAATGCTGAGCAGTGTGTGTGTGTTAT